TTTCCAACCTTAGTGATTCTGTGATTTTGGGAAGTTTCAATGCTTGAAAACACCTAACTGAAAATATGGGTTAACTCTCTCCCACGGTTAAAGGAGACTGAGTAGCACATCCAGGAGTGAGTCATCTCAGTGTTCCATGAGCATCAAGTATAAGTGGGATGAACCACCTTTGGAGGTGCCTGAGTCTCTAGAAATTTCCTCTAGAAAGAATTTAGCTGACTGCTTTAGACTGAGTGTCCCCCTTTTAGATGGCTAAAGCTAGGATGAGATCAATTCCCCTTATGGTAGAACATAAACAACATATTTGTAGTTGCATTTCTCCTTAAAGTCCATAAACTTAGGCCAATCCAGCCTTATGCTGGGCCATGAAAGTAGCTCTGTTCTCTCCCGCTGTGCAACCACTAACCATCTAGTTTCTTAGTTTGCAGCCATAGAGGGAATTAACAGAACCAAAGACATTAAAGCATATCGCTCTGGAAATAGAAAAAAAGGTCAAAAAAGTCTGGACAATCAAAAGAGCTTGCTGGTTAGGCAGCTACTCTATAAATACACTTTTCTTCCTGCCATAAATGTGAAATTAAGCAGTACTAAACAGCACTTGTGCTGGGAAAAGAAAAAACACATTATTTTTTCTCCATTAGCTACTTCCAATGGCTCATTTATTAGTGACATATTGACCCGGATGTCTTACATGACCAAAACCAAGGATATGAACTTTCTATGTGGTCTGACAGATTTTTCACTGAGTGCAAAACAGGGTTGCATCTCAAGAATAAGAGGATGGTGAAATCCTGGCCCAGGTTGCCCAGAGAGGTGGCCGATGCCCCATTCCTGGAAACATCCCAGGTCAGGTTGGACGGGGCTCTGAGCAACCTGCTCTGGTTGAAGATGTCCCTGCTCATGGCAGGGGGTGGGCTAGATGGCCTTTACAGGCCTCTTCCCACCCAAAGATTCTATGATTCTATGATATGCTGACGCGCATCCACTTTACCATCTATGTGTGGTAAACTAACCTAACAAAGGAGGGAAATAACTAAGAAGCTGGAGACTTACCTCTCCATTGCAAAAACAGTATATGATGGCAACAAAAAATCCCTAGGAGGAAGAAGAAACAACATATTAATGTTACTCTTGCTACATGTCAGTATCTCTTTCCTGGTGGTGCTGCCCAGTGTCCCTGTTTTTCTCTGAAATCAGTGACATTCATGATATGCTGTGTACGATATGCGTAAGGCGCCTTGTTTTGTTCAGTGGTGTATGAGACACATGAACACAGCCATATCCCTGCAGACTATTGACAAAGCAGGTAGACTATATAAGCCCTCTGGGTCATGATTCAGCTAACAAACAGGTCTATTTTCACCCCCAGATCTTTTGTGAAGTTTCTGAGATGATGATGGGTGCCTGGGAAGGTGATGGGGTCTCTCTCAACTGGAAGTGTTTATGAACATATTGGATAAACCTTTCCAGTGTTTTACATGTAGCGGATCCTGTTGCACGACAAGAGGGTGGAATATGGTCCTGATGGGACTTTTCCAGCTCTGGTTGCTAGTGAAGTCCATGTGTAGCGCAGAACTGGCTGAGTGGGTTCAGTAAAGGAATTCAGATGTGAGCAAACCATCCTCATCTTTTTGTTGGCCAATGGTTTACCCAGGTCTTGCTCAGGTCACCGACTATTTTAGCCCATCTGGACCCAACAGGAATTGTATAAGCACACGAATGCAAGCTTGGTCCCCATCTGCCTTACAGTTTCTCGAAACTGGCATCTGGCCAGACCCACGATCCACCTTTCATCATCCACACTGGTCAACCATGACGATAGGTAGTAGCATGCGAGCCAAAAGTTAGTCTCTCAGGGGAGAGTGTGCAGTGATGATCAAACACTGCTCTGCTTGTAGAGAGTTCTGTATTCTTGCTGCAGTGCCTTGTATAGGACCAGTCCTGTAACTGAACCTGCCTTGTGCCCAAACCTAGAACTGAGGAATCCATTCACAGGACTGAAAGACAACTTGGGACAAGCAAATTGGAAGCTAATGTGAAACAACATGTCTCTGAGGTTCTCTACCAGCTTACATCTAACCTGGATCTAAAGGGATTTATTTTGTGGGGCAAGTTATCTTTCAACAGGAAGATTTTTTTGTTGGACACACTGAGCCTTTATACATTGTGTTTTGCAAATATAAAACATGATGCCAAACTGCTGCCAAATCACCTTGTGAATGAAATTTGGTGTATTGCAAAAACAGCCCTGCTTCCAAAGACACCACCTTGCACTCTCATTTCCCTCCTGCCCCCATTGAAATTCTCGTGCTTGGCCCCCATAGTTTAACAGTTACAATACCTGGAAAGAGTTGAACAGCATTTCATAGTGCATTTGAACTTGCCAAAGAATCCCTGACACATCTGTGTATGGCATAGCCATGAAAACAATATAGTGAACGCCAAACAGAGGCATAAGGACAAGGGTAGATTTCAGCAGCTTCCTGCAGCAATAAGGAAAGAGAAAGACACAGAGGAAATTAGTAGATGGAATGAACATCCCAGCCAGGCTCATCCACCTCATACCTTGGACAAAAGTGGTACGTAATTTCTTTCCGGCTCAAATGCCCCCCTTAGCTAGGCTTGGCTATCTTATATTTACACAGGCACTGTGTCCACCTGCAATTTCAAATTGTTGCTTCTCTTATGGCATGTGCCACAACCCAGTCTATCCTCCAGCATGTCCTGATGTGCTAGTCGAAGCCTCTCCACATGCATGGCCCTGTGTGCTGCTGCTGTAGGTACTGGTGATGAACACATTGAGATGTCTTCTTCAGCCTCAGACTTTGGGTCAGGATCATGGGTAGAGGGTGGAAAGGCGAGTGGAAAGAAATTTGTTCTGCTGCTTCCAGTCCCCAGCGTCTGACTGGCACTAAATCCCCTTGTCCCTAAAGGATGGTTCTGCTTCAGCTTACACCTGGACACAGCCCTATACAACCTACAGTAGCTGACAGCTCTTGAGCGGCGGGTGTTGGACTAGATGACCTCCAGAGGTCCCTTCCAACCGCAGCCATTCTGTGATTCCATGATTCTGCCTGCTTATTGAGACAAGACACGAAGGTCCACCCTGGGTTAGTGCCTCCTGCGTAATGAGGAGGGCTGGTAGAGATGGAAGTGCACCTGGGAGCAGGATTGTTCTAGATATCGAGGGGAAGAGGATGGTGCATTATGGGGTAAGCAGGAGGTGAGGACTCTTAGGAGGTGCTTTGGACTCCAATATCACCGGGAAAGGTCCTATTTAAAGAAGAAGCTCCATCTCACGTAAGACCAGTGCTGGGGCTGGGGGGAGGTAAAATACAACCCTGAGTACTTGGCTGGGTTTGCTCCTGAGGGAACCAGCCTTGCCTGGAAGTGATGTTAATTGAAGGATTAAACTTTCTGCCAAGAGTTACAGCAAGTCACCAAGTGCAGGCAATTATTGAGAAGGGCAGACATCACTACCAGAAAGACCTGGTACCTCCTCTGTCCAGCAACTGGAAACCACTGAGGGAATTTAACACATTAAAAGGAGAAGGCCCCATCCAAACCATAATTAATAGCAAGCTTCAGCCAGGGAGAAATAAACAAATAGATAAATCAGAGCCCTGACAGGGCAGCAAAGAAAAAATGGAGAGGTGTTTTCCTGCCAGATCTCATTCCCACTTCAGATGAAATGTCTTGTGTTTGGAGAGTGAGACAGTAGCAATGAGCTCATGGTTTGTAGCCCAAATCATTCTGCTTCCCCCCCCTTTGCATGTGTCGTGCTGGTCAGTCCAGCTCAGAAGGTTATGAGAAGCCTCAGGAGCTCTCAAACAGCTGAGGTGTCTCAGCAATCTGCTTTTTCTGTCCAGTTTTGACCATGCTACAAATATTCTAAATTGTCAAGAGAGAAGAGTTGGCAGAACAAAGGAAAACAAAACAAAGAAAGGCCAGATTTCCAGCAAGGAGTCAGGAATCTTTTTTCATTTCAGCAAAAGCACTGAAACACCCACTGAAGGGCAAATTGAACAAATAGACCAAGTTTTACAAAGCACAGGAGGGAAATTACTAGAAATAAATAAATTGGTACAAGTTTTAGGGTCTTCAACAACATAAGCAGTACTTTTATTTTTGCGCTTTTGGTTAAAGGCCAGCACAGTCATTTCCAAACTGGCTGAAGAGACTGAATTCCTCTCTTTAACCCATGAAGCAGGTCCCCCAGGTTGGATTTGAAAGGTTTAGGAGATGTCCAAACTGCTGTGGATTCATGCTGCATTATCAGACTTGGAAGATGACACTCTTCTCACCTTGTTTTAGGTGTCTACAGTGTAGAAACCATGAACTAGTCACCCTGGGCTCCCTCTGTAGTCAAGGAGGTGAAATAGGGACTTTGACATCTCCCAGAAAGTGGAAAGGGTATGTGACTCACCTGTACTGTTGTCTTGAGTCACACCTCCCTGCATTCGTCTCTCGTAGCTTCGTTGCTAGGACTCTGATAATGTTGATAAAAAGAATAAAATTTACCTGGAAGAGGTGGGGAAAAAAAAACAGCAAAGAAAGCATAACTGTCAAGAAATATCCAGATGATGATAACGTTGTTTAGTCAATGCTTTCCCCAAGATGAGTCAAGGGGCTGTGGCACACAGTGACCTGATGGTGCTGTGTATGAAGCTCCTCCTGGGAGAGCTTGTCCTGTGGAAGGGGTGAGCTCTACAGGAAAGACCCAGTGTCTGGTGGGATCTGGTCAGCTGTGTTTAACCTGAATGGTTGAGACAGAGAAGGGAATGGCTTTCTCTGCCCACAAAGTGTGGGCATCTCACATGGAAACACCTAATCTGAGCTAGCAGCCCAGCAGTCACCTGATAATTGGGTACGATATCAATATATAAGGCAGTGCTTACCAGGCATTTTGAGGTATGGACTACAGGCAACTCTCAGAATTTTTCACGTCATCTTTTTTAAAACTCCATACAATTATTTTCACAGCCTCATAAACATCTCAAACTTAGTTTGGGGTCCAGGGAGCAGAGTGAAATGAGGTTATATTTGTCTCTTACAGGCCACACAAGATTAAGATCTCCTCAGGCTAAGAGAAGCTTTAGTAGGATGCCTTTCCATATTTCCGTATGCAAAAGAAAAGAAGAACAAGCAAACTGCACCATGATGAAGACATAGAGTTGACCTAACTAGAGATGACAGATCAAGAATGCAGAAGGGCAATATAACTGTAAAACTTGTGTTGTATGTCTACTGCTAACTCTCCCTCTGGAAGAGTGTTTATTATGGACCAGATAAGGACAGTAAGGAAGTAATATCTACTTCTTATGCAGGGAGCCACATCTATAAACCCATCTTGTGGCCAGCCGCTCAACCAAGCTAGTCCTGCAGGAACATGCTCGTGATGACACACACAGCACAAGGTAACGGCAACATCTCATGGCTATGCTGCCATTTAACAGAGAAGAAAAATGGGGAGATGCTTGAGTGATTCCCAGCTTTTTGGAACTTCTCAGAGATTGGTTTCACTAGGGCTGGGATTACACCTGCTGCTGCCCCAGAAAAACCCATTTTTGGGACTACAGCAGGGCCACAAACAGAACCATTGTGTAACCGCCTGCACTGGGCAGGTCTGTGTTGCTGGGCTAACGCTGGTGCCTATGGGTTTCTCTGGAGGCTTGCGACAGTCATTTGACCTTTCAGATGCCGGTATAGCAGCATTTCAAGGAAACAAATTACCATGCCACACACAGGCTCATAGTTTTACGCCAGAAGGGACCATTGTGAACCTCTAGTTTGATCTCCTGCAAAACGCAGTCCATAAGACCTCCTTGTATTCATTTTTGTTTCAGCTATTGCAGATCTGCGTTTCAGTATTTCCATGACGGAGGTCCTACCACAACCATTGGTAAGTCGTTCCAATGGTTAATTATGCTCACTGTTAAAACAAGTAGTTCCCTGAGCTGCTGAACGAACATGGCCTGGTTTGCTATGGCTTTGTCTTCTGTGGTTGGATTCCTTCTCCTTTAACGAGGTGCAAGTTCATTTTGTACAGCTCTCCTCTGTGTTAAAAAGGGGGTAAGGTCGTACTATGCCGTTTTCCTTGAGGGGGCATTAGCAGAATTTCTCTCCTGTATCTGTTTGACTGTTTTCATGAGGTTTGTGGGAATTTAACATCCATGCAACCCCATTCCCTTAGTTACATTTGGTTGGAATTTACTGACTGGCACAAAAGTCATAAGGAAGGGATGGATAGACCAACAGGCGGAGAAGCACACAGCCTGGGGGCATATAATTCATTTTCATTGGAAACCAATCTGAAAGGAAAAAAAAAAAAAGGCAGGCTTTGTTTCTCGTATGAGTTTTTCTAGCTTCAAAGGCTCAAAAGTGGGATCTTGTTCTGCATTTGTCGGCTAAATTGAAGATGTCCAACCTTATCACAGTCAGGAGGGAAATATCTCTTACTTCCTGAAACATGTGCTAAGTTTTAAAAGAAATCCAGACAATTGAATAACATCAAAGTTAGCAGCAGAGTGGAGGGGTTTTAAGCCCCTCAGCCTCTAAATTCTCTGCAAGTACATCCAGAAAATGCATAACTTAGTCCAGCAACATATGACCAGCCAGTGTGGGAATTGAAAAGGCAGCCAAGTGAACAATATGAACCCACAGAAATTAAACAGAAACAACCCACAGAATATTTTTGCATGATAAATAGCTGCATTTGCAAATAGCCAGGGTACAAGCACAGCAGAGCCTCATGGAGAAACATTATTTTTACAAGGATGAGCCTCAATTGAGCTCTTTCTCCTCTGCTAATTGGGCTTTAAATTAAATGCAACGGGCTTGCTGGCATTCATCTAGTTGAACTATCTGAACTTTCTTCTCCATCCTACTATTTCGTTTCCAATGACCGCGATGTGGGTTTGGTGATTTGTTTCTTCCAAGGTGCAGAACTAATTGCTAGAGCCAGGTGGAGAATTTCCACCAAAAGGAAATTTTGATGAAGAACCCCACCCCCAAAGTCCAAAGCAGCTCACCTAATTGAGCATATAAGCATATTCACCTCAGAAACTTTCCTGCTGTTTATATGCAGATGGTCTGATTTTCTTCTCACCCATACTGATCATCTTCCAAGGTCCCCATATTTGTGAGTCAGAAGGAAATATATAGAACTTGACGCAAAACCCTCTGAAGACTATACAGAGATTCTTTCTGACTTCACTCAGCTACTCATGGATGAATGTAGAGGGAGACTAAGATGCATGGGATTGGAAATGCTCTATTGCATGTGCTCATCTAACCATCAGAAGATGGAGTAATGAAGAACCGTAGAGAAAGACAGAGGGAGCAAAGAGAATAGTAAATGAAAACTGCGAAAGTAGGATCTCTAGCTAATTACGACCCTGCTCAGGCAAACACATAACCACCCACTGAAGTCCCCTTGTGCAGATAATCACATCTTATAACGACCTCTCCAGCTTATGAGAGCTTAGTCCTGTGTTTGGATAATGTAACTTATATCCTTTCTCTCCCCTCTGGCTCCTGGGTGGGGGCTGAAGTGATCTTCCATCAGTAATTAACATCATGTCCGATCATAGCTGGGATGGTTTAACTCTCATCTCAACCTTTGAGGTATGACAAGTTTTTATCAGTTCAGAAAGACGAGCCTGAAACAATGTGATGACACTGAAGCATGCTCAGGGAAAAGGTTTGGTCCAGCTACAGAACCCACTAGAGATGCCTGGTGAGGAATGTTACGGCCCCTGAGAATTTTCAGTATCTCATGGGTTGGAAATAATTGGCTTGAATGTTTGTTTCATTAATCATTCTAGGGACTTACCCCTGTGTCATTTTTCTCTCCTAAGCAAAACCTGAAATTGCTCTTAAGCCCCTCTGCCACAGGCAGCTATCAAACTTCCAGGCAGGTCAAATATAAGGCCCTTAAGGTGGCTATACAGAGACTCCACACTATTAAGGCAGGAGCTGGATTAAGAGGGTGATTGGAAGTAGGGCAGCCTGCTCAACCCTTCGCACTGAGCCTGCACCAACCAAAGGCACTGCTTCCCACCCCTTGCAATCAGCCAGTACTCACCACGATAGCTGCCAGGATGGGCACCTGAATAATCCATTTTAAATTGCCAGCACTCAAGTCCCAACACCTGAGAAGAGATTGATATCCCGTCAGGAAACCACTGCTTACAAAGAGCAACAAACTCAAGTGTCTTGTTGGATGAATCCGCCTTGGAAGGAGGTGTTCCTCCAAAGCCTGGTGTGGTGGAAGGGTCTAGCTCTAACCATGCCTTCAGTCAGCATGACTTCGAAATAGCCCTTCTCTTGCTGTTATACTATTCAAAATAGAAACCATTATTAAACACATTTAAAGTTATGCTCTCCAGATGGTGGAACAGCTGCTTCCACAGCCACAAAGACTTGTCCCTTCTGGGCAGGAACACACACTTTTCCACTTCTTCACCTCCTTACCAGAAAAAACTACACTAAGAGTGTACTACACTAAGAGTAATCCAGCTTTCAGGAAAACAAGAGAGGCTGAAATGGCCTAATACTACCCCTCAGAATCAACCTGCACAACTTTGCATGGGGGCAGGTCCTGTCTGAAGACATGACGATGAGGACAGTGCTGTGGTTCTACATTCAGTTCCTGTGCTTCCTCCAGCCCTGCTCTTGCAGTGAGACCCAGCCATGCCCTACCAAAGCCTTTATCTCCTCTTCAGCTTCAGCCCTTGTCCAAGGGAGGAGTGGAAGGGCAAACTGCTGGTGGCGGGGATGCTGGGCTCCGGTCCTCCATCTGCCAAGGAGGGGCTGAACACTATTTCCTCCCAGGCGTTTCCAGCAGCCATTGAATAAGGTCACTCAGTGTTAATTACTCTGTTTGAATTCTCTCCAACCACGGAGAGAGGAATGCCACAGGCTTTCCTTTATCTGAGCCAGACAGCCCCCACATGGCAAGCTGCAGTTTAGATTTCACGGGCCAAAAGCTGCCCAGGCAGCTATTCAAGGAAAGCGAGAGGCAGGGGCAGAGAAACCACCGGTGCTGACTGGAAGTCTCTACGAGGACGAGCCGGTGCCAATGCAGATGCGTCACACTCCAGTAGCTGTGCCACTCCGTCCTCCCAAGCCTGGACCTGAAATCCCGTTTGCAAAGCAGTCCCCTCCCAGGCAAAGCCATTTGAAAAGTTGCCTGGGGATCCCCACACTTTTGCTGGCAGATCGTCGGCAGATGAACCCCGTTGTGTGGTCAAGCCTGTGCATTATTGGGGGAAAATACGATTGGTTTGGGTTTTGAAGATTGATGCTACGAAACCTTCATTCAGCATACTGTAAAATTATGAGGCCATGAGGGTGCATGTGTAGGATCAAAGAAGCAACTGATCCAGTATCTTGTTTCTGACAGTAGCCAGAAGGTGGTATTTCACGTGGAACAGGCAAGCAGGTAGTGATAGTTTTCTAGAACATTCTTCCTATGATCAGCAGTTCAGGACGGCTTCATGAGCCACAACATTACTGAGTATTTAATATTTCTGGAGGAATTTATTTTCCATGAATTTTTATAAATGTTGTTTAAACCTAAGGACATGCTGGCATCCACACCTCCTGCAGTGAGGAGCTACAACGTCACCCCCCCGTCAGCTCTGCACCACCTCCTTCGACTGTGCTGAACCTGGTATCTCCAACTTCATTCCCATTCATTCAGGATTTTAAAGATACCTCTCCTGTCTCTGCCTAGCTCTGAGCAGTCTCCCTTAGCCCCCAGGGATAACAGCTGCAAGTGGTCACATTTATCAAATTCTGTAAAATTAGGAAAATTTAAGGAAAAATAAAATTTTTAGGAAAAAAAGGAAAGCTAGGAAAGTTGCACCTACCTTATCCTTCCCTGCCCCTTGCCCCCCAGGTTTGCTAACTTCATAGTAGAAGTCACTTCTGGCTTTACCTGGTTCCTTTTTTCCTTTCGGTTCACTCACAGTCACTATTGCCAAAAGCCCCACAAAAACGTCACATGTAAAAGGGAGAAGAGAAAATCCCATGAGACTTACTCTGTGTCGGCTAGAGTGGCTCTCACGCTGGCCCACGCTGTAACAAATACAGCAGGGAGTCCTGCAAAAAAACACAGGTCAAGTGGGGTGAGTAGGAGGACTAGAGGGCTCTGTTACCATAAGCCCAGGTGTAGTGGGCTAGTAGAAGGTGGAAGAAGCAGCTTTAAAATATTCAACCATAATTTAGGCTAGGAAAGCCTGATCTTGGTCTCGCATCTCTTCTGTAACCCAAATGGTGAACCAAACCAGTGGCAGGGAGCATTTTTTGGAAGACAAATGTCACGGTCTGGACATGTCCACCTTGCTGAACTCTCCTGGCTTTCAAATGGAGCAGCTTGCTTTCCCAAGTAGCTGGCCGGGGCGGTCCAGGCTTAAGCTACCTCCCGGTTCATGCCTGAGAGATGCTCGGGTCTGGGCGGGAGATGGGTCATGGACTTGGCAAGACAAATCGTCAAGGTCCCGTGCCTTTCCTCTAGCACTACTTTATAGAGTCATAGCCTGTAGTGCTTGAACCTGGCTGACCGGTACCTCCTCTAACCAACTCATTCAATTTGAAGCAGAGGAGGGTTTTGTGCAGCACACCTTTCCCAAGATATTTGTTCCCTTCCCCTGATGTCCAGGAAAGGTGGATCTGGAGTCAGGCTCAGACCGTTTCTCCCAGGACAGGGCTGGATGGATTAGAAGCTCTGGTAAGTGCGAGAGACTTGCTGCATGAAGCAGATAAACGCTAGAATTTAGGGTAATGCCTGCAAAATACTCCAGCCAAAGGCTCACTCCCAAATGAACCGTCCTTATTTCAGCACAGTTACACTGGGCATCATCTTTTCCCTGTGAAAAGTAAAAGAATCACCACTATACAAATGCAATCTTCTATTTATTTTTTTAGGGTCCAGTTCTGCTTTATTTGTACAACTGAGTCCCCTACTGGCTTCCCTTAAAAGGCAGGATCAAATCCACAGTAGCTTCCACAAATTCAAGAAGAATAGTCCCTTTCAGATGAAAAAAAAATTAAAAAATAAATAAAGGCGACATTTATCACCGATGACTGTAAATATTCTGTTCACAGTCTAAGCTTATTGGGGCTCGGCATGCATAAGCACACGCTTAACTTTCAGCATGCACTTAAGTCTCATTAGGGTGCTTAAAGGCTTTCCTGACCACGGACGCTTTCCTGAGCTGGGGTGTGGAGCAGGGATGCCTGTCTCACACACATGGACAACGGGGCCGTTATCTTGGCTGGAACCTTTAAATGCCGTGGTAATATAAGAAAGCATAAATAATTAAACACAGAGCCTCACTCAGGACCGGCGCAGCAGCCCTGCCTACAAAGATACGTTTATAAGGAATGCTCCCTGCTTCGCCATCCCCTGCCATGGCCGGCACTGGAGAGAAAACACTTAACCTATTGCACTGGGAGCCCGGCAGCGTGTTGCAGCCGAGGGCTTGGGGAAGGTGGTGATTTATTGTAACAGGCACCGTCTATTCCCTCCTCACTGTTAATCACCTCTCTACGACTAATACGCGCATGCTGCGGACTACGGGCCGAGCTGTCAAAGGCTGAAACGCATATAGCTTTGCTGGTATAACTTTATTCGATACGACGTCGATACCACATCGACTGAGAAACTGGCCATGTCGAGAGGCTGACGTGCCTGCTGCCTGCCTGCGAGATGGTGGATGCTCACCCACTATTGTGAAGCTTTAAGTTTGAAAGATGGGTTGTTTCAGAGGCTTGGATGTGTTTGACACGTACTTGCACTTCAGAAAAGACACTGTTCCCATTCATACTAGTCCTGTGCTGTGTTCAAGGTTCCTAGCAACAATAAAATATACAGGAGAAAATAATTATACCTAAAAAATCCCTATGTGTGGATTTATTGTGCCCTGTGCACTGTTACCTCACTGCGTTCAGGCAAGCTTAGGAAAAGGTTCCTTGACATTTTCTGCAAAACACACAAAGCGAATTCCTGGCACCAGTTTTATTGCTGCATTTGTCTTTCTGTGTCTCTTACATCGTTCTTTCTCTGCAGCGTGAACAATTGTAAATGTTCTTAAATTTGGAAAAAGTGGTATGAATCCTCTCCCTCCCTTTCGTCTGCCCCATTTTTGGATTCTCTCTCCACCAATGTAACATGGAGCGCTGGGGCTGTCAGGTAGTTCTAGAGTTCAGTCTTTTCCTCCCACTCTGGTAAGCTAGTCTTTCAACGTGAAGAGTCAGAAGACTTATTTTTGCCTCCAACGTCTCTTTAACTTTTAGAGGGTGATGACTGACTTTTTGCTGCCTCCACTTGAAAGTCCTGTGATGCTCCAAGATTGACAGTCCCTCCCACTGAGCACTCACAGTGCCCATTGACAGGAGAACCATTAGCCTGAAAATCAGGACTGAGGTCCTCAAAGTTAGACATCCAAAGATATTCACAAACAGCAAGACACCCAAGAGGGTGCAGCTCTGTGAGCAGGAAAGTCATAGGTGGTTAAATGCATCTGGCCAACCCACCAGAGAAAGGAAAATGAGTCTCCAAAAAGCCCGTTATCTCCTGGTGGCTGTGAGCGCAGACAGATGCAGGCGTGGATGGACGCATGCATGTCCCCCCCCTTGCACGGATGTACCCCACGTGCACGACCGGTGTGACGCAGGACGAACCCCACCGGGCGGCGGTGCCGTGAGTGACTTCTACAGAATCCACATTGTATGCGCTGTGCATTTCCAGTCCATACACACAGTGTGTACAATGCAGGTGCTATAAAGTCAGGTATCTCCCCATCAGCTGGAAAAAGTGCAAACCTCGAGCTGGGCAAAGTCTGGTGGCCACCTCAACCCCCTGACTCCCCTCTGTCGTGTTTCTTGTGCACGTGTCTCCTAGCAGTTGGAAAAACGGCTTTCATGCATGTGTGAAAGCTGTGAGCAAGAGAGGCGGTTGCAAAGCGAGTGCTAGGAGAAGAAAGCTTATGAATAAAGACCTTATGTAGGTCTGGAGAAACCTGGTCTCAGTTCTCTGCTATCTGAAAACCTCTCTGAGGAACAACGAGTGTGTATTTTCAGTCCCTCCGTGCCACAGTTTCCTAATATCAAATAGGACTAATAATGCCCTCATGCCTCTTGTCTTGTTAGGTACAAACACTTTCAGGCAAGGATGATTTCTTGCTTAGACAAACATGCAGGGCTCACCAACACGAGTTTTTGGACCTGAGCACCTCTAACAGCAACATCGATCTATTTGTCTTTTCCAGGTCTCACTGCAACCCTTCTTCCCACCGCAGCTGAAAGCCAGTGCAGACCAGCATGGGGAGGGGGATTAACATGGTGTGAAGGAAAAATGCCGGTGGAATCAGCTTGGGTTTTCTGGCTATTGGTCATGCTTCTTAGACTTCCTTCATAAAACAGCTGCAGGGAACTTGAAGTCTGCTGGGGAATTTATTGTTGCCCATAATATCATTATTTATTTATTTTTGCTGGGTGCTGGCAAGGAACAAGTTCCTTTCTGTCACCAGCGTCTCCCTTGCAAGAAGGGTGCTGTGGACTTTCACGGAGCTGTGCTCCCGTGTGCCAGTGAGGATGTGGATTGAAAAGACTCAACAGAAGTCCTTGGGTCTGACATCAAAGAGTAACTATATGTTCCGGTTTCCTCAGTAGTCTGGAAATAAGGTGATGTAGGGTGATTTTTGCTCCGTACCCCCACCTTGGAAATTTCCAGGCAGGATGAATCCACTGCTGTTCATTGTTACACAAGCAAGAAAAAAAATCCCAGCTTTTGGGGCGAACTTTTCTTTTCTGTACCTATGTGGGCTGTCATAATTATTTATCGCGGATTCCCTGTCGTTCATTGCTGAGGTATGGGCAGGATCCAGTGCCCACTGCAGGGAACTGGAGTTTTTCCACTGACTCCAGTGGGTTTTGGATTGGGTCGCCCTTTCCAGTGCCCAAAAGCTATCAAAGCAATGCGTCTGTGCGGGGGTGTGTGTGTACATTATCATGCTAATCAAAACAAAGCAAAAACAAATGCGACTGGAGGGATCCTATGTTCTCATTCCAGAGGAATTCAAATTGAGCAGCCTCAAACTTTTGGAAGCACATAGATGATTGGTGTTGTGACAGGTGTGACTTCGGCTTTGTGGTTGCGCTGATAAAATGATTATTCTCTGGCAGTGGTTGGAAGAATTAATGAGAGGAACCCATGCCTGTTAGACTGTTTTCCTTTGGCTGCATTACCAACAGCATCAAGTTGGTTTTTCTTGTTAAACATATGGCATTATTTTTCAGCTGCTTCCCTCTCTTCCAGGGTTTGCTCTGGGGAATTGCTTCTTTAAGTCTGCTCTGTACAGTTTAATGCCATTTTCTGAGAAGCAAATTTTATGTAGCTTGAGGGTTTGGAAGAGAATGGGGTTTGGGGTTTTTTGGGGATTTGTCTTTTGTTAATTTGTTTTGAAAAAAAGGTGACATCTAAAGTCCTCTCTGTCTCATGGCATCTGAGATAAGAAATGCCCTGTCCCCAAAATGTCTCTATTTATTTTACCCCCAAACTACCAGCTGGATAAACTTTGCCTGAGAGATGGATGCCCACTTTGGGACTCCTATTTACACCTCCTGTCTTTATCATATGGCAGCACCAGCAATTTCTGATGTATGCACCAGCTGAACATAAGGTTAGCAAGGAGCTTGTGGTCCCCTTCTCCCCAGTATCGCACGTGGGAAGGAGGAAGGCTGGGGAGACTCCTGCGGGCTGGACTGCCCTGGGTTGCTGAACCCCTTGCTTGCTCTCACAAAACAAAAACCTGCAATCCTCCATAAACTCAGTTCTGCACTACCGGGCTTGCTCAGAGCTCCACTGTTAAAGACAAGGTTTTTCTTCCAGAAGAAATCATGTTCTGGGATGGGGATGGTGTGGTGCATACATTAATCTTGTCCTAAAATGCAGTCAGGATGTGGCCAGGTGCATTTTAGACCTGGAAACTGGGAAGTGGTCCTGGGCCATACAGTTTGGAGGTAACCATAGACACCCGTGAAGAGGTTTTTCCTGCTGTAAGCTCCTTTGCAGACCTACACCCCATTATTCTTCGTTATGTCCTCGAGGATCATCTAATACGTTTCCTGTTCTCCCTTACAGTCCACACACTTCAGACAACTGTGGGCAGTTGTTTTATTGTCCTCAGCCTACCAGCACCTCATAACTCCTCGCAAGCCAAAGCTAATGCCAGAAGTGAACAGAAAGCACATTCTCGTCTGAAATGTGTGTGCCCACAATGCCTTCCACCAGTGAGCGCCCTCCCTGCACCCACATCCCGCCCCTTTATCCTTTACTCTGGGAAAAGGTGCCCAAGTTAAAAGAAAAGGGGGGAAAAAAAAAGTCTTCCCCACAAATTGCAGGTTCCTACTAGTGCCTCAACACTCACGAAACCTCAGGAGCTTTTTAAAGCAACTGAGATCTGAGGTAGGAACTCAGAGCTTAGGTCTGCCGTTGGGAGCAGATGCTCACAGCCTTACGCACCTTTCCGCCCCTCCAGCCCAACGCCCCTTTCTCAGCGGGAGGCATTTGGCAGAGCTGCGGATGGCTCAGAAAGTGCACTAAAATAAACTGTCACATGCACACAGCCGCTGCCCTGGAAGGAGGGCGAGATGTAGTGTCTCTCCAAACCTGGGCTGATCCTTCCAGGGACCCTGGAAGTGCCACAGTGTAAATAACACAATTTAGAAATGACAAAGGCTTCACAAGACAGCAAACCTGTCCTTAGAAGAGTCACTGTGTCTCTGATGCTCATCTTGCCTCTGTCCCCTCTCCTATATTTAGGTATATGCACTATCTGGTTCAAAGACTACCTTCAACAGGCTTCCTACAGGTCAGCCATAATGAGCAACCGTGACTTACCCCAGCCAAATAACGTGAATCCCCAAAGATACTTCTTCTCTGAGAAAAATGCCATGAAGATGAGGCTGTGGAGATAGAGCCCTTCCACCAGAATCCAGTAGTAATTGGTTGCCAGGAAGTAGAGGAAGAAGGTAACCGCTACTTTACAGCCCACCTGCAATGAACACAGAAAGACAGGGTTATGTGAGGAACATCATGTGAAATTCTTGTTCTACATAAAGCCATAATTTACAAAGATGGGCTGGAAAACAAAAGGGAGAAAAGGAAAAAAATGAAATCTGAAAATTCTGTTGCAGGGCTTTTGCAATGGGAAAAAATCAGCGTAAGAACAGAAGAGATGAACACCTGAGAAGAAAGCTTCCCCCCCAGCCTGACATTGTGTCTCCAATAGCAGGTGAGTTGGGAGGTGCAGGAGGACAGGACATGTGTGGAGACATGCTGACCTGATCCTACTCTCTCCAAATCCCGGTGATGAGAGGTTCACACACTTCCTAGGGCAGCTGTGTTTCATCTTTTGCCTATGTCTCTTGCCCATGTTAAAGGACAAAGGGCTGTGTCCAAGTCACCTTGGTGTGGGTGACCTGGTGTGAGTCACATCACTTGGAAATACGACTACCTCCTCAGCTCACGGAGAGATACAGGCACTGTGTTGAGGGTGAGTCAACCCATCCTGTCATGGATGTCCAAGATAGGGTCCTCCAGGGCTGCCTGTCCTTCCTCAATGAGTGTGAAGACACCCTAGATGGCTGCTGTAGGCTTTGGCGACTGCTCCTCCAAGAGCAAACAAGCTGGAAGATTTGACCCACAACATCAAGGTGTTTTCTGAACAGACCTGAGCTGCAAGATGGGAGACCTGGTAGAGAATTCCAGGACACATTGATCTTCAATGGGCTCATAAGCTGACCTCTCACTCCACACTGACCTGCAGTCCTTTGCTCTTGTGAGAGGAAAACCTTGACTGCGACTCAACACTCCCCTGCCCTTCTACAGGCTGGGGCAAAGCCACCCTTCTTCCAACATTCCTCATCCCTGTTAGAGAAAGGTTGCAAAGCAATAGTGCCACATGGGATTAACTGGTACAAAAGGGCACATAAAGCCACCTCTTGTCACTATAGAAATGCTGCGACTCCGGGTAGTTCGATTTCACAGGAAGCCTATGACTACCAAACACATTCCACGGCAGCAGCACACCTCCATGCTACCCCTTCCTTTGAGAGGAATACAAGCGACATGCAGAAAATGTCAATATATACTTTGTAAATGAAAAGAGAATTCTTTATTCTGGCACAGGTGTTATGCTAAGCCTATATATATATAATGAATATGCACATATTATAGACATACATACATGTATATGTATGTATGTAAAAGATGGACACATTTACACCCATTTTATTTACAGATGAAGTGAAATAGAAGGAAAATCACTTTAAAAATCCCTATCCAGGTTTAATAATAATTTTTATACTTACAAAAAATCACCATCTACCCACAACCAGGGAGCATCAGGCAATAATTGCGAAGCTCCTGCTTCACTTGGAAACAAAAGACATACACTAATTGTCGCCTTCATCATTTGTTTGTCTTTCAATTCGGAAGAATGGTAAGTGCCATTAAATTGCTAATATTCAAAGACTGCAGTATATTATCCCAATTATTCCTTATAATGAGTCCAGCCCAAGGACAAACAGAAAACAATGCAGTAAAACATTTTCTGTTCTTTCCAAAAAGGGAGTGTTTTGAAGTGTGTTGAGTGCTGCAGCCAGAGACTCACCCAGCTAGTGAAATGGACCTCTGAAATGGGAAGGAAACGCGATAAAATATTTCCATTTGGGGGGACTTGGATGCACAGTGAGACATTTCACACGTGTTGATTTTATGCAGGGGTGTTAGTGGCCAGGTGCCTGGTATCAGCACAAGCTGTGAAAGGCTTGAGAAGCCAGATGAATACATAGGCAGGAAGTTTGTTGCCACATTGCAAGAGCCACTCCACTAGGATGTTTGAGCTGGCTCAGGTTTCTTGTGTGTGTTGAAGGTAACCCATGATCTTCAGCTTTGATGGCCATGGGGAACAGCTCTTCCCTAGCTCTGGGGCTGGGCAGTCCCTCTGGGCCAGAGGGTTGAGAGGGAGTGGGAAGAGATGAGGACAGACTGTGGAGGGTGAGGAAAGGGGGGGGAGCTGCTGTCCCTCAGTAGGGTGGAAAATCCTCCCGAAAGAGGTGAGGTGTTGAGCAGAGAGGAGAGAGGCACAAAGCCTGGTCAACTGGCTGCTCCGGCGATACTCACAAACTGCGATTTATCCGCTGGAGGTGCTTCAGTGATGGATTTCAAGTCTTCCTCTGAAATCCGTTCCATCTCCTCCAAAGCTGACCCAGAGTACAAGACTGCGTCCTTCACGAAGATGCTCATGGCTCTCAGCATGAAGGAGACAAACAGATGCATGTGGATGTAGTTTCTAGTGCAGTGCAAACGTCTGGAGGAGGAGACAGAGAAGGGTGGGAGAAGTTTAGCCCGTCTGTTGAGCAGACTCAGGGTCACCTCTGCTTCCGAAGAGCCCCAGCTCCTCTCATCAGCACGGTGCCACCACGGGGCAGCAGTGCTAGTGCCACTGCTGCCCCGCACTCCTGCTTCACCCCTGGGGTTGGTAAATGAACGAATACCTACTCCAGGGGCTTGGTCACAGCGCGCTGCTGCTGACTTCTCATCAGGACGATGCTGTGCCTCTACCCATTTAAGATCCTTTACTTCTGACTGGGAAATCTTGGAAAGAAATAGGGATGTGTTTTGCCTGTAATGGGCATGGGTAGTGAGCATGCATGCCGTGGGCAGTGAGTCCACATCTGGAGGAGCCTGTGTGCAGTGCACATGCAGCCGGAGGAGGGTATGTGATATATATGTGATATCCATGCTCAAATCTGGAGTGCAGTGTGCACGCAGTGTCTGTGCAGTACCAGTCTGCACGTGCAGGATGCTGTGTGTGCAGTGCACGTGCATCTGGAGGCAGCGAGCGGTGCATTCAGTATGAAGCACAGGTGCAGGGTCTGCACATCTGGGGACCATCAGGACGAACGCAGCGGGTGCACAGCCGGTGCGCAGCACGTGTGCGGTGCACCAACGGCAGCGTGCGCAGGGCGCGCGCACCCCTGCGCGCAGTGTGTGCACGGTGAGCGCGTCCCCGGCGTCCGGTGCACGTGCAATGCGTGCGCACCACACACGCAGTCGTGGTCCTGGGCAGACAGACAGACAGCAGGCAGGATACGTGCACAGTGCTCGCTGGTACTGAAGTGGGTATCCCGTGCGTGTCCCTTTCACTGCTAAATCCATCCCTCCAACAACTCTACCCCTCTCCGAGTCAAACCCTGCACTTAAAAACTTCACCTTTATCTGCACTTTGCGCAGAGGGAGTGGACTACAAAGGCTACTGAACTTGTGGCCGCTTAAAACCCCGCAGAGGTTCTTGCAAATTGCTAATCTTTGCGCCCACTCCAAACTCAGCAGCAGCTATAGCAGTAACTGCGGTGTGCTGGGCTGTTTCCTCCTTTGCCGTTAGAGACCCTGTGGTTTGCTTGGTCATACCGAGCAGTTTCTGGGCTCCACCCCAGCAATGGCAGCAATGACCCCACAAATGCTGATTGTAAAGCGCTTTAAGATCCTTTTGGGGGAAAAGCTGGATGGTAAGATGTGAATGGGTTAGAGCCATAGCTACGAGGTGTGTTTTAGAAACGGTGATCCTGCCTTTGGGGAGAAGAAGGAGCTAACCGACCCATCGGGGTCCCCTTCTGTCCCCCACAGCTGTGTTGCCTGGCTAGTCATGTATGAATCTATTGCTGGGTTTATACTTTCTTAAATCCCCAGATCCAATAATGGAAATAAAATATCTGTGAGATTTTTTTTTCTCCTTTGGGGGAGACTGTCACAGTAACAACAGTTGTTTCCTGTGCTGTTATAATACAAATTACAACGAGTGGAACTGCTGAAGGTGGGCTTTTGAAATGTAGTCAGTGAATTTCTGGATTACGTGTTATCCACAAGAAAATCTGGCTTGATCCCTGCTGCTGCTTTGATCCTCGGGACAAAAATGCTCTAGCACAGTCACCCATGTGGTCTGGGCTTTAAGTGAAGTGCTCTGACTACATGAAGAAAGAGGAACTCTTGCATACATGGACATGAAATATTTTAACAACCTTGCCAGTGTCCGGTGGGAAATGAAACAGGAGGGGAAGGGTTGAGAGGACAGGAGGGTGGTGGCGGGGATGGGTTCTGGGACTACATCTTGTGAAGTGCCTCCAGGAGGGGTCTGCAGTCCCCTTTGGCTTGGGTGTGCCACAGATTTGGGCGCTGGGATGCTCTGCTACCCAAGCAAATCCCCCTGACGCCTTTTTGCGCACTGCAGAGAGGGCTCAGCGCTTTTAGAGCCCGAGGCCGTGCGTTTTACTCCCAGTAGTACGTGTCCAGGGCTCGGCTCGAGCTTGCACGGTGGGGGCTGCTGAGTTCATCTGCAGACACCACACGTGGGTTTGCTGCGTGGAGAATTTCCCTGCCCAGCCGTTGTCTGGGTCCTGCTGTCTGCTAGGAGAAGTCACTGCCCGCCACCGAAGGGAGGCAAATCTGGGGTTCAGAGGATCGGGGCTCAATACCCTGCTCCACCTGCAGCTCAGCCGGGGGTGGTTTCCCAAAGGACAAACTTCTAGCCGTGAGCAAGACCTTTCATGCCTCCCCTCCCTGGTCTCTACAACAGCTAGGAGACGCAACAGCCAGGTCTGAGGGATGGATGACATGGGTTCAAAACGGTATTTAGGGGCATGACTAGTCCCTTGGCAGGGGTGGTGGAGACAGAGGGCAGAAAAACAGAGTTAGGAGGGAGCGCGGTCATTTTTGGACCCTAGGTACAGCAGCAGCATGAGGAGACTGGGTGAGTCAGTCTGGCACTTTTCATGGTTGGGGGTCCCCTTCCACTGGTCTATCCTTCATGAATATTTGGGTTTAGAGTGGAATTTCCCTTATGATACTTTAGCTATCTAAAAATGAGCCACCTAAATCTAAGCCAGTCATCTGAAGGGGTAATAGGAGTGGAAAACCCCAGACAGTCATCCAAAGGAGACAAACCTCTTCCTGGAGACACCCCTGTTCCCATTAGCTATAAAGAGGGTCTAGAAAACTCCGTTGCAGGCAAGGGGAAGAAGTTCAGACATCCCACCCACCATCCCCCAGGAAGTTTGACCTAAGTGACACTAACACAGCCCAAAGCACAGGTGCAACCTCTTGTGGCTTGCTGAAGAAGCACATGCCACCCCAGTTTTATTCTTTAGGAAAGCCCCAGGCTTTTCCAGTCTAGTGACAACTCACTTAGGTAGAAACAGAGCCGCCTACCTGAAGTATCCCAGGATAAGGACAGCAACTGTGAGGGATCCCAGAGAGATGGAGTATCCAACAGTATAAATCAAATAGAGGCGATCAAAGACCTCCTGCAGTACAAATGATGGAAAAAATAGCGTCACATTAGAACGCGTCCTACTGCATCGTAACACAACCATGGTAGCAGCACAGAGATTCAGGCTATCATACCTGCTGGGGGGTACAGCTCTGGGTCGGGGAACCTTTTGGCAATCACACTTGACATCTGTCTTTTTGACGAGGAAAGTGGTATTCATCTTTCCTAATGACTGGGGGGAGCTGGGATTTTTGCAAGGGAATAGTGATGGACTTGGGTTAATCCCATGCCTGGGAGTTTTGCAACATTTTCATCCCAAAGGAACCCAAAGCGCTTTACAAACTCTCAGCCAAATCCAGAGATCACTTGGCAATTTTTGCTTGAACAAAATGCCCGCTGACCTGGGATTTTTGCTGGAACTGTAAAATGTAGTCATAAGGCTATGCCATACCATTGCTGAATGACTGATGTCCAGGCTGGTGGAGTGTCAACCCACCACAGAAAACATGGGGAGGATATATTTTGACTGTGGGATGTGAGAAGAAATCACTTGCATTTATTTTTCATTTTTAAAATCAAAAGCAGCATATGACTGTGGTTATCCAATCCAGACACAACTTTAACTTGCCAAAGTCCCATAGGAAAGGGTCCTGTCACGGGAGAGCTCATAGTAATTAATCCTGCAGTAGGTTTTAGATCTCTTGGCCCTCTATATTTTAGAGTTGTCTTGGAAACCCTGAGCTTTCTATTAAATATTTAGATGTTTTTCTTCGTCCTGAGCTGGGGAATGCAGCTTAACTCAGGAATTACTGAATCTCTGCCTGAAAAGGGTTAAAATGCCTCCCACCATCCTACCTTGTACCGCCTTTCGTCATCTGAAATTAGAAATAAACCCTGAAGAAACCAACCAATTCAACGTCTTTCTCCTCGCTCCCTCCCCACCCCTCCTCCCTCCTTTCCCTCACCCCACCCGCTGGGTTGCAATAACATTAGTAACGCTGGGCTCTGAATGACAGCTCTGATTTTGATTTGGGGCTAGAAATGCTGTCCTGGAATGCAAAACCTCAGCTCTGTTACATCAGAATCCCCAGATATGCGAATGTTTCTTTGCGGTTTCCATTGGTAGAGTGGTGTGCTTGCCAATATTAATCGTGTGTGTGTGTTTATGTGCGTATTTTTATATATCTATATATCTGTACAGGCAGCAGACACTAAAAGCCAATGTGAACAGACTCGAGAGCTTTAAGGGAAAAATAAAAAGCTCCTTCCCCTCAAAGCCTGCTGCACTTTTCCCACTGCCAAGCTGGAATCCTCTTTGAACTGGAAAACATTTGCCTCTACGGTGAAAGTTTAAAAAAAAATAAAAAAACTACTCCACGTTTAGGATTCTTGGAAATTCCCCAGTTGTGAGACATTACTATGCCCAGCTGGACAAAGGCGTTCCTGAGCCCCATTCAGAAATCTAACCGGAAAGATCCACGCTTCGATCAGACAACGACACCGTTGTAGTAGCAATGGCCTAGCGAAGCGCCTGCTGGTTGGCTGGCAGGACGTTTTCAGAGGCTGTGGTTAATTCCTCTGATTAACCACAGGGCCTCTTTTTGAAAGGATGTTGAGTCAGAACTGCCAAGACATATACATGCATGCATGCATGCACGCTGCTGTGCCTGCTTGCAGGCGTAGGTGCCACAAATCTTACTTGATGTCACGATGAGGAGCCTTTGGGGAAGGTGATTTTTTGCATGGGGGGATTAGGTCCTTGAGGAAAGCCTCAGGAGAAAAAGGTTGAGGTTCTCCAAAAGGCTGCACAGGGCAGCCTTTGGGAGGGCAGCTCATGCTTGCTAGTTCCCAGGTGTGTTTGTCCTCAGGAATTGTGAGACCTGGATTTACCCAGGAGGAAAAAAAAAAAAGCTCTACAGGCAATTCCAGGTGTCACCCATCTCCTAGCACAAGGGAGGTCCCAGCTCAGTGGAAACCACAATGCTGAATCAGGAGAGGTCCTCCAGGTAACAAAATATTGAGTCTGCCAACAGAAACAACAACCTCCATCATCTAAGGACCCTCTTTTTGGAGCTGAGATGGATGGGAGTTTAAGTAAATCACAGAAGACCACAAAGGTCATGCATGGCCAAGCCATGGACACAACCTGGACCTCCATAGTCTCAAGACAGTGCACTACCTACTAGATCATCCTGCTACAGTGGGAGTTGTACCTGGTGTCTCTTATAAATCTACCCTGAAGACAGACTGACCATCACTGGTCATCCACTGACCTGTTGGAGGAGGCAACCCACCCTTCAAAATTCTGGCCTTGCCAGACCATGAGACCCTGGTTTAAAAAGTGTGATACTTTAACCTCTGTCATATAATCTGACTCCTGCGGTAATCCTTCAGTCTTTCAACTCTTGACACATATGCACTGAAAAACGAAAAGCTGAAAAAAAGCTAAAGGGAAACGGGACGGACAAAACCTCAATATCTGTGATTCCAGGGGCTGGGATTATCAGCAAAATAATGTAAAACTCACAATGCAGTACCAAGATGAAGGAACATCAGTTTCAAAACTGGTGTCCTTGAATGTTGCCCTCTGCCTCCTCCATCCCATGCCCTGCTGGGATGAGATAATGATGGCGAAGGTGTGGGATGTATCTGATCCCTCCTTTCTTCTTGTCTCTTCCAGCTTCTCTGTGTCTCTTGCATCTGCCATCTCCCTAAGGAGTACCCAACTTGTCCCCAACAGGGCCTCCAGAAGAATGGTCTGAAGGCCTTCCCTTCACGTGGCTGAGCCAGTCATGGTTGCTCCTGGGGGGTTCTGGGCAGGATGAGGCCCCCCTGACATGGCTGAGCTGGTTTTGGGGTTGATGAAATGACTTCCTATCAAGTCATGCACAATGCGTCCTCACGCTCTGTGGTGCTCTTGGGCACTGCACAGCCTCAGGGCACTTCCTTTCCCTCATCCTCTCTGGTCACACACTGCAAAGCTCCACCAAACCACAGCCATCTATCTTGTATAGCCAGGTGAAATGATCTGTCTGCAGCAAGCTGGCCCACCTGATCCTGCCTTCCTGACCTCCCTCCAGCCATAACTCAAAGACTGACAATAGACCGAACCGCAAAAAACGTAAGTACTATTTCAGATGTATTGCGTGCTGAACCCGTAACGAGATCTCCTTTTTCTCTCCCTCTTGATTTGGTGGGAAACTTCCTCTCTGCTCCCCTTTGCATCTCAGCTTTCCACCAGCCTGACCTCAGGGTAGAAACTTCACAACAGCCTGGTGGCTTTGGGAGAACAGGAAACCAAAACAGAGCTGGCGATGGCTTCTGCGTGAACTCAGAGAGTGCATGGAAAAAACAAAATAAACAAAGCTTAGCCACCATGGGCATCCACGGGCTGAATGTGCCCCCCCTCCCACAAGGGTCCCTGCATTCCCCACTCCCTGTGGTTTGGACGTCTTCCAGGTGTGTGACCCTCAGAGCAGTTGGCTGTTACTTTTTCATACTGTGCTCAGGGCTTAATTTGACTCCTAATTTGTCCACTTCCACCAATGGGGAGATAATTTGCATTGATCTGAATCCAGAGGAAAACTGTTTTCCTCTGCAGGACAGCTCAGAGCCACATCAGAGCACCAGGCATGGGGTTTCGAGGCCCCATCCGTTGCGAAACCATGGCTGTGCTTTCACTGTTGCATTGCAGCCAGCTGTAGGACAGTCTGTGTGAAGGGCATTTCTGCTCCCTCAAACTCTAGTATGGGTGCACGGAGTTTGCCATAGTGGATGCAGTCCTCTACTTTAGATGGTATGGATGGCTCCATCAGCACTGGCCACCTGAGGTCCCAGCAGCAGTAAGAAAGGGGTGCTCTAGGCTGCAATTCATCTATTTTAATCACAGGATGGTGCCCTAAGCCATCAGCTGCCTTGACTGGGTTGTCACAAGAGGAGTCCAGGGTGAACAGATCAAATCGAGGTGTTTAAAAGTATATAGCAAGTCCCATCCATTTGTGTCTCAGGTAAGAGGTCTTGTGACCCTTAGGACTAAATTCAGTTGTGCCTCCATGTGTGTCATGTAATTTTAGAGACCCAAGTGTCCTGTCTGGCTTCAAACTGCTTTTACAGAAGGGAATGAGTTTCCTGTAGGTCTCATGTTGTATCTGCAATTCCCATACAGTTGTCTCATACACCCTAGGACGTCTCATTTAGCTCTGGGCTTAAACATAACTTATGCTTCAGCATGTGGATGAAATCTTCAGGGCTTTGGTGTTCATGTGTCCTGTTTCCTTCCAGTGTCACAGGGAGTATCTGAGTATCGTTGCACTGTGCCCTGTATCCAGCTTTCTCCTTTCATCCTTTTTCTTGCCCCCTTTGTGAGACACAAAGGCAAGAGTCTGCAACATCTAGGTTGTGAAGCTGAAATGGATCCAGTGGTCTTTTGAGGGGTTGGCAGGCTATGCTGAAGGGTGGGATTAGCAGTATATGAGGATGGAAGCATATGTAAGGGTTTTCCAGATCAAGTATCTGCAAAGTTTCTCAAAGCTGCTGATTCAGAGGTTGTTAATGACATGTTTGAAATTAGCAGAGGAAGCATTTTACTGCTTTGAATGATAAGCAATTCCAGAAAGCCTCTGTCACTAGCTCTAGTTGTTGCTTTGCTTGTCTTTTTTTACAAAAAAAGATGTAACTAAAAAAGTTTAATGTCAGGGAGAAGGCACAAAACAGTCACCGATTTCCAAAGCCTAAGGGAAAACACTGGGTGTTGAACAGGACTTTTTGCTACAGAATTCTGTTTCCCTCACCTATAGAGATGCCGGGCACTTCAGATCCTCACAAACTGGATAGCGACTGGGGTCAGCTTTCAGACTAAGACACCCCAATTTAGATGTGTAAGTGTGCTTCTCCTTGTGTGTTGAGTGTATATGTTCACATGATAGTCAACAAGGAGAGATCTTCAGATCCAGTTACCTACACATAAGCACTAAGTGCTGTATGAGATGTCTGTAAGTACCCACATGGACCCCAGGTGCTGTTCCAGAAGAGCAT